GACGACTATATTTACTGTGTAACTTCTCTAAATGGTCATTTGATGTCTCTAACAGTTATTTCATTCCATTGAGCTATAAATTTAACACTCCAAACTGATATGAACATGAGATTAACCTTAGAAATCATCAAGCTATGAAATTCATAATCATATTGTTCTTGTTATATAAAAGTTATTATTTTTGAGCCAAGATCATCTATATATTTATCTTTTGAGTATTAGAGCTTTATTGTACTTATCATTACTCTTAGAGAGAGTTTTAAGTAAGTGATTCACATACACAAAACTTTTGTAAATGTAAGGGAGAGATTTTTCTTACAATCAAGAGAGGTTATTCTCTTGGGAAAGGAAGCTCGTTAGTAATGTGAGTTGTTGTAAAGGCTCACAAGTGCTTAAGTTGAACTTGTGGGTGTATCGAGGTGGCAAGTACCTACTCAATTTTGTGTTTTAGTAAAAAAATTTCAAGTAGTTACTTGGGGACTAGATTTAGGCTCAAGAGGAGGAGTTGAACTAGGGTAAACCATTATTTGCAATCTCTTTTTCTTTAACTCTTTAGATTTCCAGCAACTTTAATAAATGCTATGTTTTAGTATATAAAATTAAATTTGATATTTCTACTTGCTCTTACTCAAACTTGCACTTAGAAATTACTTCTAAACATTCATACATAGATTGACATTGTGAAAAAAGCTTTGGTATTCTCACACACATAGTTTAAAATTCAAATTTGCCAAAATATTCCTTTGAACATAGTTTTGTAGAAAAGTTTTAAAAGAACAAAATTTTTTCAAACACCTAATTTACCCCCTCTTGGGTGTTTTGTCATATCTAACATAAACCATAGTTTATCACTATCATTAGCTTAATCTAATCCATAATAACTCTAGGGTTTTAGATTTAAGTACTCCCTTATGGTAAACATCTTCAAAACAAACCTAAATAACATATATTTAACTTTAAACAACCCAAACAAGTTGAACCCCACGGCTGGAGTTGCTTCAAATTTGAACTTTAATCTTAATCACTACTAAAACTTGCTTAAAGAAGGGATTAGAGGTTAGGAGATAGACTAAAAGTATTTCCTTGAGTAATTATGAGTTAGAATCCATTCCCTAATGATGGAGAAGTCAAAACCTTAGTAGAGTTGAAGAAAAATCACTCAAAACTCACCAAAACACTCTCTCCTATATTTGTTTCACGATTAAGTCTAATTTTTGGCTGTTCGCTCTTTCACTACAATAAACTATATAGTCCACAAATGTTCATTTAAGCCTAATACTTTGGGCTCAAATTTGGCCCAAAACCTAATTTAGACTATAAATAAACCTTATACATGATCATAGGCCTAATTTTAATAATAAATAAGTTCCTAAACAATTCATTGACGTCAATCATACATCATTTCTCAATTAACACCTCAAATTCAAAAAATTTCTAAATTAAATCCTTAATACACATATTTCCTTAATTAAGTTCTTAAACTCACTTAAATACTTAAATAATCTTATTTCTTCAATTAATTTAGTTAATCCTTAAATTAAATTTTGGGATGTTACATCATATTACTATTTTTTTGACCTTGTTTGACCTATTCTCAATACTAAACTTATTTCTTCACATTTCTACAAACTTTTGTACTCTATTTTAACTGTTTTAAAAAGCAATTGCTTTAAATAATTATTTCCAAATGTTTTAGGATCCCATTGTTACTTCCAAATCTTTTCAAGGGCTTGTTTCATTTTGTAGCCATGGTTGATCTGTAATAAAAGCATTGGTTTAGTAGTGAGTAAAATTAGATTGATGATGGAAGTCATTACATAAAGCACCATGTAAAAAGGGCCAAATGGAGTATGTCTCTATCTCATTCGAAAATCCACTCATTCAATACTCCGCATTTCAATTTTTTAAAAATAGACCTTTTTCAAAAGAAAAAAATAATTTTTGTAGGAAAAATTACATATAGGTCTTGTAAAATAAATTTATTTACAAATAAATTTTATAAAATTTAAAAACTACAGCTAGGTCCCTTATGAATTGAGTATAATTTGAAATTAGTGTAAAGGTGCTTATTGGATATGTGAAGTTGTAGTTGTTAAAAGTTAAAGTCCTAGGTATAAATTATTGAAAAATTAGCTTTAAATAATTAGTGTTAAACTTTTTTAGTAACATATGATTTGTTTATTAGATATGTAAAGTTACAGTTGTAAAATATTAAAATAATAGTTTTAAATTATTGATGAGGTTGTTGCAAACAATTAGTAGGAAACTTGTAATGTATGATGAGTTTAATTATTCGATATGTGAAGTTATAATTGTAAAAGGTTGAAGTGATAATTATAAATTATTAACAAAGTAGTTGTAAATTATTTAATTGATGTAATGTACTCTCTCTGTCCCAAATTATAAAACACTTTTGGAAAAATTCTCACATACTAATAATCTCATTAAATACACTTGACAACCTTATCTTTTCAAAATAAAAATATAAACTTTTAAAAATACCCATCATTTAATTTATTGAAAAAAGAAAAGACAAAAATTAATTATAGAGAGAGAAGGGATAATATTAAAATTGCTGCATTTAGTTAAACCTTAATCTACTCAAGATGTCTTATATTTTAAGATACAGAAATTTCTTTAAAAGTGCCCTATAATTTAAAATAGAGGTAGTATTTTTAATAGGAAATTATTGTCTTTACACCTCAATTTCAAATTATGCTAAAGTTTCAAAGGACCTAATAATGGCTTTTAAATTTTGTGAGACCTATTGCTTTATGAGACCTATATGTAATTTTTTTATATTTAGGAGACCATTTGTTTAAGCTTAAAAAATATATGACTTTTAGATTGTTTAGAAATTTTATAAAAGTGATTTATTTTGTTGAGATTTTATAAAAAGTATAAATTATTTTTTTCTTGATTACAATTATGAGAAATTGATTATTTTTTGTAACTTTTAGATTTTATGATATCTTCATAGATTTTAAAAATTGTTTATTCATAAAAAATGAATCATAATTTATTTAAAATTTTAAGATTTCTCCATATACTTCCACATTTTTATGACATTCTCTTTCATTTATAACATCATAATTTTTTTAGAAATTAACTTCTCAAAATAATAAGAAACATTTTTTTTTATATTTTGATTATTTAAAAAATCTCAAAAAACATGATAAAATTTCACAAAATATATTTTTTAAAAAATAAAGATATTTTTAAGGGGGGAAAAAACTTAAACTGGTTCCAGATTTTTTCATGAAAAAAATCTTAAAACATAGGTGACATATATATGGACTTTCTTTTTTATTATTTTTAAAATTATAATTTAAATGTTAATATTTTTCTTTAGAGACAAGAAATTACACGCAAGAATATATATATATATATATATATGTAAATAATAAAATTCATGTATTTTTCAGTCATTTTACATATAAACCTATTTTTGAATTCTATCATCCAAGTTTTAGTTTAATAAACTAACTTGTTAAGAAAAAAAATATCTAAACAAAAATCATATTATCATAACTTATTTTTATTTAACAAAGAATTTTTTTTTTAAAAAAAAACCTAGTTGCTGGACTTGAATTTTTTTGGGCCGAGTCGACGAGGGGTTGAGGGGATGGACTCATGCTAACATGCTTGAGCCCAAGTGACAACACCAACACAACATATTGACCACCGTAAATAGCTTGAAGGGGGCATATGAGCCTTTATAATTTTATTAAGCCTAAGTGATAATGTTTAAACTTCAAGGAGCCCATGATAGTTCTGTCAAAAAAATAAAACAAAAGAAAAGAACAGGGGAAAAAGAAAAAGCCTATCAGAGTAAAATGAAGTGAATAATAAATTTAGAGTGGGAGCCTATGATAGTTCTGTCAAACAACTAAAAGAAAAGAAAAGAAAAGGCCTATCAGATTAAAATGATGTAAATAATAAATTTAGAGTGCTATTTTATCGGTTCATTATATAAGTGTAGATATTGATATTAGATAGGCTAGTAATGGATTAATTTTCGGTGGAATAAACTTGCTGGACATAGGAGAGATTCTAAATGTACAAGTGAGCTTGACAGTACATTTGATTTAACACTTTCAAAAATTGAGTTTGAGTTTTTCGTAAATTTTATATATCTTATGTGAATTCTTCAACTTACATTTGATACCCTATAGAACTTATAATTCATGGACTTTAGTTATAAAAAAAAAAAACATTTTCCTGAATCATTCCATCATTGTCTATTGACAATGAAATTGAATACCTTTATCCATAAGAAATAGATAATTGAAAATTTGTTATTACCATGATAAAAAAAAAATACATTTCAGTATATGTTAAAAATTCAAATACATATAAAAGATATATACAGTAAATAAAAAGAAATTATATATATATATATATATTGATAATTGTGAAAAAACACTCATTTCAACTTCTCAAGATAACCCTGCTATATTTATACAAGATATATGTGACCAATCATTTTTAAGGTTTATCATTTCTTATAGAAATTAAGTTAGAGATTAATACTGAACTAGGAAGAAATATTTTTTTATTTTCTACTTTTTTCATATAAAACTAAAAAGATAATTGAAAGTTCTATTTTTAATTATCAGTTCATAATCAAAAAAGAAATTTGTTAAATTTGTTTTTATCGAATGTACATGCACCTAGATAGATATCTAAAAATGAGTTTTCATTCCACTCATTTCTAACAAATTTCCTAATATCTGCAACATACATATCAACTTATGTACTAAGGATAAGGACAAGTCCCTCTGAGTTCACTATATATTTAATGTCCACATGCATCTTAATGATTCAAGCACGAATCCTGCTTTCATCAAGACACAGGACAAATACTATGCCTCTCATCACGAATACTCAAATTGTTTTGTGCCTTTTTCTAGCCTCCTTCTTCAATGGTATCAATCAGATACAATAGCTGTTCATAACGCATGTTCTATGGAACGCAAATATATATATATATATATATTATGATTAATTCAAAGACATGGTTTTGTGCAGGAGGAAATGCGGTAACAATTACATTAAAAAACAATTGCCCCTTCACAATATGGCCGGCAACCTTGACCGGAGCTCCGTACCCTCAACTATCGACAACCGGATTTGAGTTGGCAACCGGAGCAACCAGTTCAGTTGATGTCCCTGCCCCATGGTCAGGTCGGTTTTTCGCTAGAACTGGATGCGCCACTGATGCCTCTGGAAAGTTTGTCTGTGCCACCGCAGATTGTGCCTCCGGTCAAGTCGGGTGCAATGGCGCCGGAGCAATCCCGCCGGCAACGTTAATAGAACTTTTTGCGGCACCAAATGGTGGACAAGATTTCTATGATGTCAGCAATGTAGATGGGTTCAACTTGCCCATGTCCATAGCCCCACAAGGTGGCACCGGCGACTGCAAAGCCTCAAGCTGCCCGGCGAACATCAACACAGTGTGCCCTAATGAGCTAAAAGTTGTAGGCTCTGATGGAAGCGTTATAGCATGCAAGAGTGCTTGCACAGCTTTTAATCAACCTCAATATTGTTGCAGTGGAGATTTTAACACCCCAGAAAAATGCCCACCAACACAATACTCTCAGATGTTCAAGACTCAATGTCCTGATGCTTATAGTTATGCATATGATGATAAGACAAGCACCTTTACTTGCTTTAGCAGACCTAACTATGCGATCACTTTTTGTCCTTAGATAAATCCTGTAAGCAAAGGATAAAAAATAAAAGCTGAATAAATGCTCATGTATATGTATAATGAAATTTGCATGTCCTTTTAAGGACATCCTTTCTTAGTGGAAGGATATGTATTATGAAATAATTAGTAGCAATGCCTTTGGGCTAATTATGTAGTTGAATTTTATGTCCAATTAAATCAATTTGAATTGTGTAATTGATATCAAGTTGATTCATTTAGCGTGCCCAAAAAGATTTTCCCTGCTTAGTCCACATAGCAAATTTTTTGAAGTATATATATACATATAACTTTAGTACACCGTTATTGCTACTTCTCACCTTGCTATACAGATGAATTCATATTCTTCAACCTCCTTGAATATCAAGAGCTAAGCTATCAGGGCACCCAGGAAACGTTCATTGCATTAGAGAACTTCACACGGGGAATTAAAGAGACATAGAGCATTGATGTAAGAGTACTTTGGAAGTAGAATGTTCATCAGAAGAGCAAGCCCCATGAAGTGTGTGTGTAGATTGTGATTGTGTGTGTAGATTGTGATTATGTTTTTTCTGGATGAGGAGGATATAAAAGCACTACAAGAAAATTCACTTTCAGCGGCGATAAAAAGTCATTGGAAGAGCTCTTGTCATTGATTATATCTACGTTGATAATAAAAGTTGCCGTTGATAATATTCAATTAGCAAAATTTATTGACACTGAAACAACGTTTATGCAAAAATTACACATCAACGGCGACTATTTAGTCGCCTCTAAATGTTGAGCATCAACACCGACCTTTATTGCCATAAATACTATCAATTAGCCACAACTTTTTGTTGCTATTAAAAAGTAATGCTAGTTTACCTAACCCATGGTGTCATATCACCCTTTGACTCCTACGTGGTGCCACGTCATGTGCCACATGTTACCCACATCACCCTTCACGTGATGCTATGTCACCTTCCACGTGTCACCCACATCAACGTTGTAATGACCTAAAAAAAAATATTATAATTAAAAATCTACTAGGGTATATTTTGAAATTTTCCCCAATAAACTTGGGTCTTTTTTTGTAATTTTTTCAATTTTAGTTTTTAAGTCAGAATATTCCCTTTTTATTCGAATGGTAGAGGCTGAAACTGAGCTCTTTAGTCTTCTTTTCATCACTGCCATAGCACTTCTCTAGTTCTTCATCATCGGTCCACTTCTCTAGCTCTTCCCGTCAGGTTCTTTTGCTAACCGTTGACATATGTCTCTTCGCTGTTGGTGGTTCATCCGTCGCTCTTCTCTTCATCCACGTTCATCAGCTACAGTGGGGTTGGGTCGCGGGAAAACTCTTCCCCTTTCATCGTTTTCTGCTGTGTCAACGTGAGGTGAGTGGTCTTCAACTTCTCCTCTTGCTGTCACGTTTCTATAGCTGGAAGAGTTGAAGTTGCCGGATTTTCTCCCCTTGGTTTGCTGTTATTTGTTTTTCCTATTTAGTGGCTGATGGTAGCGTGTCTGCGTTTAGTTTCCATTTGCTCTTCTTTATCAACTAATCGCATCACGTAAGTGCTTGATTTTCATCTTTCCTTCCTCTTTTGCTAAGGGTGCCGTGGGAGTGAGAGTTTTAAGCTGAAATTCTTCTCTTTTGCAGTCAAAAAAATTAAAAAAAAAATTCTGCCTTTTCTCTTCTTGGATGCTGTCATATTTGGCTTGGGAAATTTAATTGTTGATTGCTTGATGTTATGCATCATTTATTTTGATGATTAAGCTGAATATGATGTTAGAGTTAATGTTGAAAATTGATTAAGTTGTTGGATATTTATTATGAACTAAACTTTGATGCACTCAAAGGTTTATGTAAAAATGTGTGAAAGAAGATTGCGGTGGATTGAAAGTTGTTAAGCTTGCATGTTATAAAATTGGAGGAGTGTATGTAAGTTGGATTGAGTTATAGATTGAAATTTTAAAATACTAAAATAGGAGAAAGAATTATATAGGGGGCTTGTATAGTGTTTTATAAAATCTAAAAGAAGCATAAGAATAGTTGATATGGTTTATTATGATTTACGATTGAGAATAAACTATAGAAAAGTATGATGATAAATTGAGATTTGTCAAATGATTTAACTAACTCAAATGTATTTGGAACATAATTGGTTAGAGGATTATATTTAATATTTTTTGGATTAAATTTAAATGTCACTAAGTGCTTGAAAAATTACTTGATAAATGATTTTAAAATATATTTATTTTGTTGGGAAATTAAGGCACCATTGGAATCAAGGTGAAAAGTTGAAGTAAACAAGCTTTAAAATTTTTGAGAAACTCTTAGGTAAATGGCTAGTGTTTTGAATCAATTTCTAATAAAGTATTTATAAAATTTTTTTATTTAAATCTTATTATTTTTCTATAAATTGTACAAATATTCTTGTTAATCCTATTCTTTAAATAATTGTTTTATTAATTTCATTGATGATTTATATTATTAATAAGAAATGATTGAAATTGATGTATGATAAATGATATTATTTCTCAAAAGCAATTTAATTACTTAATTCTATGTAGATATAAAAATTTTCAATGTAATGATTTATGTATGGAGGAAATGATAATAATTTTGAACAAATTAAAAATGATAGTTGAACAGTGTTTGGAAGTTAAAAAATTGAAATTGTTTTCTTGCTTTATACATGCTTGATTTTATTAAGGGGGAATGAGTTCAGAACATTAGATGCTAATGATAGTTCTGTTAGCCATTGACGTGCCATTGTAGACCTAGTTAATAGGGGTTCATAGGAGATGATAACCACGTGCGAAGGTCAACACACATGAATTAGAGGGATAGTAATTCGTGATTATTGTACTCACGCTTATTTTCATGGGCTATGTGCTTATGCTTGGTTCGTGGCCTTTGCCACAGTTGTTTTGTGACTTTTAGCCATGTTTGACTAGTTATTTACCCTTGTGAACTATGTATCTATACTTGTTTAATTTACTTACTATTATGGACTATATATTTATGCTTATTATTCGTTTTGATAAAACCTTTCTAAATTTAAATTAAATTTATCATTTCTTTATTAATTCTCTAAAAGCATTCTATTTAATTATACCATTATTTAAAATTTTATATTCTTTGAGCAATACAAATTTCTTTCTCTTAAAGCATTATTTAATTTCATGATTGTATTATTGGAAAAAATTGTTCCTTATTGTTAATTCAAGTATATGTTTCATTATTTCATTAAATTGTTTTAAACTAAATTTATCAGTTCTATCTTCATAAATTTTTTAATTCTAATTGGTATGCTACTCACTAGAAATTCTTTAGTCTCAAATATTGTAGCTGACCTTGCACCTCTTACGGATCATTGAGGGGCCTTATATTTTTTTTTGAAAGAGGAAGCACACTGTAATTATCCCTTTTAGTGAAACTATATGTTGTATTACATAATTGTAATTTAGTGCTCCACATATACCGTAGTTAGATCCCAATTTTCTTTTGTTGATATGTAATTTGCTAGTGAAGAGCTAGTCTCCCTTGCTAGATTGGTTGACAAGTTTTGTTATTGTAGAAATTTTGAAAAGTCTAAATTATATAAGAGACTCTGTCAAAAATTTTACAAAATATTTAAAACTTATAAACTTTATTATTATATATAACTTATATAATGGTAGTTTAGATTAATTCCTGACTAATCCAGGTTTATGGAGTGAGTACATCTCATGTTATTATAGATTTATTGATTAGTATAAATTATCCATCGCTATTATAGCTTGATATGGGGATAACTAAGGCATATGGAATATGAATTTATCTCATATTCCGTGCTGGTCAAACCTTTAACACCAAGTTGTGACAACCCTCCACGTGTCACCCCAACCTTACTATGTATCATCATATCATCAATTTATATTTTTATTTCACAAATTACCTCTCCTAAGATTATTTAAAACCACAACATCCTCCTTTTGTGTCCTACTATTTTGCCATTGAGTTGGAATGAATCGGTAGTCTATTATTACATATATATATATATGTGCTAAACTAAACAAACATACATATATCTTAAATATTAAATATTATAAAATATCATTATTATCATTAAATACTTCAATTTAATTCTTTTAATTTATTAAGATTGCAAATTATATTATTTATTTTAATTTTTTTACTTCTTGAGGTTATTGTATTATTTATATTAATGTTAATATTTATAATTATAATATAAACATATATAAGAATAGATTATAAAAATATAGATGACTATACATTAGATTATAATTATTTATTTTCTAGTTAGTTTTATTTAAAATTTTATTTTTACTTTTAATTAACAATAACTCTTAAATAATGTAATTGGCTTGTTTTTACATTATATTTTACTTTTTTTTATTAGCTTTCATTTTTAAATTATAATTTCTGAGAAAATTATACACTATATTATCTATTTTTTTATATTTATATTGCAAGATAGCATTAAACAAAAAAAAAATCATATAACATCACATATATAGATATAGTTCATATATTGCAAAAGTTAAAAGTATAATTTTAGAATATATTATTTCTCTTCTTTTCATCTTCCTCATCTCTATCATTAGCCATCAAATTAGAAAAATCTAAATCGGCATCGTGCTTCAAATTTACCAATAGTATTATGTTTAAAATATTTATTTAATCATAAAACATTTAAAAATAGAGACTTCTACATTATATGGATTATAAATTAAAATATCAAAAATTAGGTTTCTGAATGAATTTATTATTTTACATAGGGGTATGCACTGATCAATTCAGTTAAATTTGGTGTTAAAACCAATTAACTAAACATGCCTAAATAGTTAGACTGAATCACCCCAAACATTACTTGACAACAAAAATTGACGTAAAATAATACAATTTGGCTTAGTTTTTTAGTCTAACTCATTATCATTAAATAATATCATAACCTTATTTTAAAATAATTTCATTATTTTAAAGTTAAAATTTAACTATAAAATATATTAAATAAAAACCATTTTGTTATTTTA